ATTAGTTGAAAGGTTGTTTTGCTATAATTAAGGGAGAGAATATTATGCTTCATTTCAAATCTAAAGGATTAGGTTGTGAAATGTTAATAAACTTAGTCAAGGGTACATAGTGTGTTCTTAAAGTTTCGATTATGATTACGGCATTCCTCTTCACAATTCGAATTTTGAGAACATAGCAAATAAAACATTATGCGTCGTGTCCCATACGCTTCGAGTATAGGATCGATTGCAAATGATTTAATGTTTGACCATTCTAAAATTTTCCAAATGTCTAGTGCATTTAGAGGGAAAAGGGACTAGAATTGGTTTTGACTAAAATAATTAAACAACTATCAAAGGACAATCCAAAGTTCGACGAGGATTGGTCGCTTGTGAGTAGTTGGAAGTATAGTATTGGAAATTATGGAAATGTTTCCATATTGGATGGACAATATCGACATCATTACGAATAGATAAGATTCTATTAAGAAATTAGTTGTCATATGGAAAATATGGAAGCGTGTCCATATTGGAAGTAAATATTGAAAATCTATGTCTAGATTAGAAACTTTTATGCAAAAGGATGTTCAAAGGAATGTACTTTGAGTGAGAGACATCATATCTAAGGAATTGTCTTGTAACAATCTCCGATAGAGGACTTTGTAATATCATTGGCAATAGTCTTTGAGACTTTGGTGCAGTGACATTACAAAAGGATCGTTGCATAAAGTGTTAGAATCTAGTATATTCTATAAGTACAAGAATTTGATATTCTTACACTTAAGAAAATGGATTTGGAGTTGTAAAATGAGAATGATTGGAAATGTGTTCAATTTGTCTATTTCACAAAAGTAAGAACCATAGGTAAACATTGTGTGCATGCTAGGAGCATGGGACAAGTGTAATAATTCAAGTAAGAAGTTGATTACCCGAAACGACAAATAATGAGTAATCGATATGGTGATAAATAAAACGTGTTTTTTTATACTCAAAGGTTTGAGGCCATATGGGATTAGTATTATTCTTGTGTTTCACCTTGCATGTTTTGACTTCCAGAATAATTGAGTTTATTAAGAATAATCGAATTATTCAAACGGGCCACAGTCGTTCATATGTTGGAAGTAGATATGAATGAAGACTGTCATGAATTGGTGTGTGGATTGTCTAAAAGAGTATTAGACATAAGCAAATGTTTGCTGCAACGTTCATGAGTGCTTATGAATATGATTTGAGCATTGGATTAAACCCACGCTCACTTGGATCACTATCTCGAGTGATTAGTGAGACGATAACATCTTATATTCTTGAAACCGAGATGTGTGAGTTGTATCTTGCTAATCGGTTGCACATTGATAATATGTAAACGCACCAGTAACTTGGTGTTATAAAACATATTGTTGTGTGTGATTTGGTTAGTGAGTGCAAGCAAGCATTGTATCAAAGTTTATCCGTTCCTTTATTCAAAGAATAAAAGCGATATCTTTGGGCCCCTCGATGGTTTAGTGATGACATACGTAAATGCTCGGCCGGGCTAGGGCTAATTTGATTTGTTCAATTAGTCTGTCGTCATAAATCAGAAATCGAGAAGTAGTACAAAGAGAATGATTAAAATCATATCTCATACGATATCTAGAATGGAGGAATATATGATCCCTTATCTAAGGACACGTATCTGATATGATCAGAGTTGACAGCGGCTTTGGAAAGCTACGATTGCAGATCGGGATCTGAAGTCATACGCAGAATAGTTGTTAGACTTATCCAAGTGGGAGACTGTTGGATTAGTGTCTAAGTCCATAACTATTTTGGTATGTACTTGACCCGATGGTGCATGGTCCTTTTGGGTTGCCTTCACCAAAGCAACTTGATAGGATGAATTATGGAGAGTAAGGATTAAATATGATTTATTAATATATTATGGGAATAATATATTAAAGGAGAAATCATATTGTTTAATTAATATTAGTCAATAATTAATTGGTAATTAGTTTTGTGACTAAAAGAGATTAATTAAACTTAAGGGACTGGAATTGTAATTATAGGATAATTGCAATTTGGGCCATGGATTGCCTTGTATTAAGGGATGGACGAATTCTAATGGGAAACCCATAAGGAAATCGTCCATGGGCTTGATAAAAGGAGTCTATGGGTTGCTTAGGGCTTAAGCATCCAAATTAGGGTTTCCTTGTTAGATAACCCTAATAGCCCAACTATATAAAGACCCCTTAAGGCTCAAAAACGTGGCTAAGCTTCTTGTAAGGGTTTACACACGTTTTTGGCAGCCTCCAACCTCTTTCCTCTTCATCCTCTTGCTTATGGTGTTTGTGAGCCATTAGAGGAGTGACACTTGTGACTCTAAGCATTCCAAAGTCAATACAAGGAGATTTAGGATTGTTATTGCTACATAACAATCAAGGTATGATCTTAAACCTAATTACATGTTAATATGGTTACTTGCATGCTAGAATTAGGGTTTATAGTCTTGGATTCAAAGCATGTACAATAGAGAAACCTAGATCCGAGCATTAGGGTTTGTATGAGCACATAGGATGTCTTATGACCAAAACCCATCATCGGTATCCAAAACGAGAGGGGGAACGTGCATTTGACTGATCCTGTGACTTCTCCCAAACATCGATCCATTTTCCAATTATGGTCCCTCTCCACAAAATCTTCTTTCAACTTAAGTCCCAATCTTATCAAACAACCCTCATCTTTAATAATTCATTACAATATATGTCTGTAATTTACCAAACACACTTTAACTTCTAACAAACTTTAGAAAATAAATCTTGAAATTATAATTTAACCCCCGAAAGTCTAAAATATATCATTTGGCTCCTCGAAACCACCACTCCGCCGAATATTATTGATTTGGCTAAAAAATAATGATAATAATTACATCTTGGGGCTTTAGAGTTTATTATTTATTTAGTTGATTTTAAACAGAATATTACATCATAATATACAATGTCACATAAAAATCATATATTTTTGTATTATGTAAAATTTGTCGTGTGGACTAGTTATTTCAGGATAAATATTCTATAATATGGAACGAAAAAGTTTATATTAGTTATTTGTAACGTGTTAAATTTTTAAATAATATTTTTATAAACTAGATTTATTTTATTTTCGCATGAATGATTATATATATATATATATATATATATATATTCCCCTCCCCCCCTATATATATATATATATATATATATATTCCCTCCCATCCGAAACAATTTAAAATATTAAAAAGGACCGTAAGCACTCACCCTTGAAGGGTGGGTTTCATTTGTTTGAATTCGGTTCCCTTTGAGAAGTTTGACGTGAGAAAACACAATCCACAATTATTAAACTTTGAAAGACTCTCTGGATCGTTTTGTAACAAACTTACACTGTAGGGGTTGTTTTGAAATTCCGCTAAACTATAGGGGCTATTTGATAATTTAATTTAACGAATAGACAGTTTTGGAAAAAAAAATTACCAAACGAGGGGTTGTTTTAAACAAATGGGTTCAATGTTTGGGGTTAGGATTGATTTTCAATACATGGTTTAATAGGGAGGGCATTTTGGTCGTTTCTTAATTAAAATGACTTAGGGCTTTTCAATCCTCCTCTTTCTTCGTTTGATCGGGCAATGAAAGAAAAGTGGATACGAACGGATGAAGGCGACTAGAGGGAAAATGAACACGAAGGCAGATGAACAAAACTGGCGAGAAGGAACGTACGAGGGCGCGGCTCTGCATCCGGTCCTTGCTCTCAGACCCCAAAGAAGACCGAAGGAGAATGAAGCTCGCAGGCGGCGCTTCGCCGGTCGATTCGCGAAGAGGGAGTAGCCTCCGGGTCAACGAGACCGAAGAGACGGAGGACGTGAAGAAGCAGCGAAGTTTTGCTCGTCTCTTCCGGCTGCGAGGTGTGAGGTCCGGGCATTGCAAGCAGCGGCAGTAGCGAAGACGAGTCCTTCTGATCTCTATAGTCGATGGGAACAGCAGAGGAAGAAAACGAGGGGAAAGGGGGTCCGATGAGAGTACGATCGGCAGCCATTCGTCGCAGGTGAGGATCTCAGTTGTGATTTTGTTTGTTTGTTTGATAGTATTCATTGGGGTGTTTGGGTTTGCTGGGAAATCAATGAAAATGAAGGGAATTTGGGTTTGTTAATTCACAGGAAATGAAGAAGTAAGAAATCAGCTTTTTATTATATTATTATTATTATTATTATTATTATTATTATTATTATTATTATTATTTTCCTAACAGGGAGAAGAAGGAAAGGAGATAAAGAATGATCAGACCCTGTTAACATTTTGAAGTCAGTTGTTATAATCTTATATGGTTACGTATGTATTGTATCTGTGAAATCTTTGAGTGTGCCTTGCATTGTGAAGTCTTTGAGTGTGAACTTGGGAAGATTTTGAAATTGTATAAGAGTTGTCCTGAGCGGATAAAATAAATGATTTTTGGTTTTACAGCTTAAGATGTTTTGTGTACAAATAAAATGCATTGTATTTTTGTGTGAAATTGACAAATAATGAATTTCTTCATGTATTATGTGTATGTATTTATTTGATTTGATATGTATTATTGGTTTTTTTTACTCTTGTATACATATGTATATTTAAGATTTTTACAAACCATTTTCTTGATAATTGTAATCTATATTCATTTGTTATGAGTTTGTTACATAAATTTTTGTTATATATATATATATATATATATATATATATATATATATATATATATATATATATACACACTAGGTTACAACCCGTGGAAGCCACGGGTAAAAAATTTGTAAAAAAATTATATTATTAATAAGAAATAAATTTGTTTCACATTTTTATATTTATTATTTAAAATTAATATTAATATATATTTGTACAAAAATATACAAATTTGAATAGATGTTAAAGAGAAAGACAAGCAAACATTAGAAAAGTTAAATACAAAGATAACTAAAGTGAAAGTTTGTCCGATTAAGGTTTTGGTAAATGTAAAAAACCTTGGAGCTGAAGAAATTTCCTTTCTTAACACTTTTCAGTAGAGCATTCAACTACCACAGTTGCATCACCACTATCTGGACCGCTAAAAACATCTATTCGATCAACTTTCTTTCCACAGTTTGAACACGCATCATAATACCAATCAATATCTTGTCGTATACCGTAAATTGAACACGCATCATAATACCAATCAATATCTTGTCGTATACCGTAAATTGTACCAACAATGATAAATTTCCCGACCTAAAAAAATATAAAATACAAAAACATTTATAAAAAAACAATGCAACTACAATAAATGAATAATATAAAACAAAACCACATTAAATAAATCAAATTATTCGCATACCTCTTGTGGTTCTAGTAAATCGACAATATTTTTTACTTTGTGATTATTCAAAAAGTCTTCATATTCATTGTATGATTGAGAGCTATCAAAAGTCAAAGAAGAAGAAGGGTTTTGAATTCTTCGTAATCCAACCAAGCTGTTTTTTTATTTAGGAAAATAATTATGAAATTAGTAAAATTATTAAAAAGAAACAAAATAAGAATGAATAATTAAAATAGTTTGTTACCTATCTGTGAAGGCCACAATTTCGGGAAGATCAGCATTTATGAACATACGTGTGTGATCAAAATAATTGTTAACAGAAGGAATTCCTGTGGAAAGAAAATAAATTAATCAAAATAATGAGTAATAAAAAAGCGTAAAATAACGAAGGTTGCCTTTTATAAGAACTATACCGTTAGACATTAAGTCTTGCAAACTGCAAAATAATAACCACACGACCAACTTGCTTATGAGCTTCAAGATAAGAAATCATTTGGTATGCGAAATCTGCAAACAATGTGACGTTAACCTGCAAACCTCTGCAGAAACAGCAAATGTTAAATGTTTATATAATAATAATAATAATAATAATAATAATAATAATAATAATAATAATAATAGTGATTTAATATATAATATAATAAAAGTTATAATTACTCTAAGTTTCTGATTTGTAAAGTTAGCCTATGTTTCGATATGCTAACATCACGGGAATCCAGCTTGCCTGACGAAACAACTTCACCTATAACATCTACAAAATGATAATACAATATGTCAAATTTATGTAAAATTAAAAAATTAAATACAAAATGCAATAAAATAGGGGAAAAAGTACCAATTGAGATATTAGATGTAGTTGTCGCAGAGATAATGGTTTCAAACGATACAAAACAAAACTCATATTTTGTTTTGGATTGAAAACCAAGACACTCATGAACAGTTGTTTGTCCGTGCAAGTTTAACTTGGAGGTTACATCACTTATTTTAAAAGTGTATTTGTTTGGAGCTATAGTGGGGGATCGGATGTAAATAGCGTCATCTTCTTTCAACTTGGAGTCAAACCTTTGGAAATCTTTTCAGTAGACATTGGCTCTGATTTTTGTACCCTATTAATATATTGTAAGAATATTATATATATTGCTGACCAATTGTATATTAATTTATTTAATTTGGTCAAAGTTGAATCAATTATTCGACCATGAATGAATTTGAATAATATTATTGGAATGAGCAAATACAAAAAAAAAATTATTTTAAATAATGTTATTGTAATAGGATATTTTACCATATCATCCATTAATATCATTTCAATTGATTTCACAACAAGGGGGTCAGATTCGGAAAATGATCTCCACGACCGGATGATACACACTTTTAGTGTGTAATCATCCCTCATATTGTCTAAGTCGCTGATCAAAGTGATATTTCTAGTTGCCATTGTCACTACAACAAAAAGACATACAATATTAAGGATAAATAATGGAAGAAAATTACACATAGAAAATGTAAACACAAACATAATTACAATTATGTCCGTAGAGTAGTAAACATATAAAAACAGATTTGGCCATTACAATTAAAAAAAAAAGGCAGGATGAACGGGCAGGAGAGATTTGTCCTTTAGAATTAACAAAAAGAGAAAATGAAAGTATGTTGCTATTGATTGTAATGTTTGTTAAAGAATGCATGCAGGGGTAGGGGTATATTAGTCCAATTTGATCTACTTCATAGTTAAAGAAGGCATAAAATCGATATTGGAGTATATTTCATATTGATCAAATATAAATAAAGGGTAAAAAGGGTATTTTACCAATAAAAAAATAAGTAGCAACAGCAGACAGATTTGGCCTTTAAACTTAGCAATCACAGAAAATGAAAGCATGCTGAGAAGTACAATTTTTTTTTATGGTTTCTAAATAAAAGCAACGCCAAATTGAAAAGTACAATTTTCCTATTGTTTGGTTCCTGTTTTTGGGTTTTTTTTTTATTTCTGCTGGGTAGTTGCCATTGTAATTACAACAGAAAGACATACAATATTAAGGATAAAGAAAGGAAGAAAATTACACATAGAAAATGTAAACACAAACATAATTACAATTATGTCCCTAGAGTAATAAACATATAAAAACAAATAAACACTAAGTCGGATATACGATCAAAAATTTTAATTTTTTATTTATGTAAAGTCAATTAATGTATTTGAAAGATTCATCGGAACAGTAAAAAACACTAACTCGGATAGAAAAATATAAAAGAGTGTTCTAATGTCTAAAATACACATGAATAAAATAATTATGTTCAACTGTTTTTTGTCATTGTTGAAGGGTATAATGGTAAATTTTTTGGTTGAAACTGTATGCATGCACCGATTTCATGTGCATTTGATATACCACTTTTTTTAATTTAATCATATTTGATACATGTTTTTTCATATAGCTAATATACTCATAACACGAAAAAGAAAAGTACACTATTTTATTTGCACATGAAAGGTAATTCTGTCGAATTATTTTTGATATATCTATGCATAATTAGAATCTTTATAATCATAATTGTTAAGCATTCAAACTTTCATCAGTAGACACAATTATGACACACATATAAAGGAGGGCTTAAAGTACAAAACACACATCGAACAAAAAGAAAAGTTTTTGCTTACCTAAAAGTACAATACACATGAATAAAATAATTATGTTCAACTGTTTTTTGTCATTGTTGAAGGGTATAATGGTAAATTTTGGGTTGAAACTGTAGTAGAAAGGAAAATGTTACAATCAAAATCAATACGAATAGAAATAAAATTTTATATTTATGTTTTATGAGTACGGGGGCATTTCTGTCACGTTTTATAGAAATGAATTCTTCATTCAGTTTTTAATTAATATGTTTTTTCTTTTTTATTATTAGGTGATTGTATTTTGTATTACTTGACTGGTAGGTTCTATTTTGAATTAAGGGGCAGTTCTATCATGTTTCATAGAATTACATATTTGTCATTGATTTGAACCGGTTTACACCAAAAACATGTTAATCAAAGGGAAATAGGATATGATGTAGGCTTAAACAGAACCATTTTTAGTTTTTAATATTACTGAATACGAAATTTTCGTTTTTGCATTACCCTACTACTATTTACTTAGCATTAAACTTTAATTCAATGTCACTTAATATGTTCATCCATGTTTTATTCATGTAGGTTTTTTATACAATCTTTACATGAAAAACGTCTATCTAAACATCAAGCATATGAAAGTGGACCAGGTGTAAAAAGTATTTCATATTTCCTAATGACCGATGTTTAGGTGTAAAAAGTATTTCATATTTCCTAATGACCAATGTTTAGCAGTTCGTAGTAACAACTAGATGTTTAGAGTAAAAAAACAATGATAAGCAGAATTTAAGTAAACATATAAAAATAGATTTGGCCATTACAATTAAAAAAAAAAAAAAGGCAGGATGAATGGGCAGGACAAATTTGTCCTTTAGAATTAACAAAAAGAGAAAATGAAAGTATGTTGCTATTGATTGTAACGTTTGTTAAAGGATGCATGCAGGGGTAGGGGTATATTAGTCCAATTTGATCTACTTTATAGTTAAAGAATGCAAAAAATCGATATTTGAGTATATTTCATATTGATCAAATATAAATAAAGGGTAAAAATGGTATTTTACCAATAAAAAAAATAAGTAGCAACAGCAGGACAGATTTGCCATTTAAAGTTAGCAAACACAAAAAATGAAAGCATGCTGAGAAGTACAAGTTTTTTTTGGTTTCTAAATAAAAGCAACGCCAAATTGAAAAGTACAATTTTCCTATTGTTTGATATTGTTTGGTTCCTGTTTTTGGGTTTTTTTTCCAGCTGGGACGTTTATTTTTTGTGGTTTTTTTGTGTTTTTGTTGTTTTGGATGCTCTTTGATGTGTTTTTTTTTTAATTTTAAAACAATGTTACCCGAAGATGTAAGATTGGTCAACTTAATTAAGTTATAAAAATATCAAATTAAGAGTATATAATAGTAGGATCCAAAAGTGGATAAGATTGACAGATATAAATAAAAGGTAAAAAGGGTTTTCAAGGGGTAGATAGGTTGTTAATATCATCTTCTTGGGCGTACATGTATATACACTACAAAGAGAAAACAAAAGATGAAAATGCCCTCCAGCATTTGATCCAGTGGATAGAATGGATAAGCATGAAAAATCAAAATTAACAACGATTGATGAAGGACGAAAATGACCTAGCCATCATTATTGTTTGATTAGCAATCTGAAAGTAGGTTTTTAAGAAGCAGGAACAATTTTCGATTATGATTATCACACGCATACACATTGAGAATTGAGAAGCATAAACTGTTGTGTAAAAAACAACACATAAATTAAAAAAAAACACACAAGAAGATTCAACTAATAAACAAACAATCTGAAAGTAAGCTTTTAAGAAACTTACCGAACACCTCTTTTCTGCGATTGAGTGGACGATTTTCGTCTGTGATTGAGTGGATGATTTTCGAGCACGATTGATGAAGGACAAAGGAGACACAATTTACCAAAGAAACGATTGATATAAAGGTTTGAAATATAAATTGACTGTAAATACGATTTCCATTGAATGCAATTGATAGCATTGATAGCATACTTTATATAAAAGATCAGATACCATAATAAGATGCTATGAAACGGGAATGTAATGAATTTTGGAGTTAATATCCAGACCTGTTATAACCGAGTAATTCTAAAGAAAACATGGCGTACTATATGTTTTGATACGTAGTTGAATCAAAGAGGGGTATAATAGGTATTTAACTTTGTAAAAATTCAGCTCTTTTCAATGGACACGTGGATTTAAGTTTTGTTTATTAGATAGGGAGATATATATATATATATATATATATATATATATATATATATATATATATATATATATATATATATATATATATAGACACACACACTAGTTGTTTATCCGCGCAAAGTGGCAGACGACGTATAATTTATTTCGGCAAAAAGGATTTGGTTGGCGGAAAATTATTTGTTTTGGTTCAACGATTAGTTTGTTTAAGGAGGCATGTCATTTTGTGAAATTGTGTGGGTGTGGGTGTAAGAGAGAGAGAGAGAGAGAGAGAGAGAGAGAGAGAGAGAGACCATTAAATTGGTACTTGATGAATAATTTTCTTTGAATGAATAGTCTTATTTCAGCTATTAATTTTCTTTCGGAAATATTTTATATTCTAAAGAACAAAATAGTTATCATCAAACAGGAGTAACAAATAAATCTAAATGATAACATATGTACAAATTTGTATTTTTTTTACTAATTATTTACCTTAATAAATTTGGTGTTTATATTTTATTTTTAAAAAGTTTGAATTTTGGTTTCAATTTGTAACTTTATGTTTTTGGTTATCCATTATAATAGAACATATCTTTAGATTTAGGTTTATCCCTAATGTAATCTAACAATGATTGTTTATAGTTATCTCTTGTATTATAGAACTATGAGTGAAACCCGTGTATTACACGGGTTTATTAAAAAAAATATTAAAGTTTAAATATTAAGAATTTTTAAAATAAAATTTCAAAATAAATAAACATATTCAATAAATAGAATCACTATTGAGAAAATCATCCATAATATTAATGATTGTTTAGTCAAATTCATTAAATTTATTATCATATTAATTGATTTAATTTCAAAAAACCACAAAATGACATGTGGATTAAATTTAATCAAAAAATTTACAAAATTACATGTAGCAAATTTAATTAGAATATGACATTTGGCAAAATTATCTTCATTTATTATGATAGATAATACATATTTTATATTCATTTTATCATTAAAAAGTATGCAATTAGCAACAAAGCTCAGGGGTAAAATTAAAATGTGATTGATCATAACCAAATAAAAACACAATTTTGTATCTACTAGTCTTATACAATAATAATAATAATAATAATAATAATAATAATAATAATAATAATAATAATAATAACCAAGCAAAATAAAACATTATAGATTTTAGGTTTGAAGGGGGCATGGTTGCCATATATTCATATGATGGAATTAGTATTCATGAAAGTAATACAA